GAGCCGGTCGAGGTTGATGGTGACTCTGGTCCTGCTGAGGGTGCTGAGCCTGGGGGTGCTGACTCTGGGGGTGCTGTGCGCGTGGGTGCTGAGCCTGGGGGTGACGAGCCTGGGGGTGCTGAGCCTGGGGGTGCTGTGCGCGTGGGTGCTGAGCCTGGGGGTGACGAGCCTGAGGTTGCTGAGTCTGGGGGTGCTGCGCCGGAGAGTGTTGAGCCTGGAGGTGCTGCGTCTGGAGCTGCTGAGCCGGGAGGTGCGGAGCCTACGGCCACTGGACCTCCCCTTGTGGCGTCTAGCGGTGCTGGGCCTGGAGTTTCGCCGGGTGTTCCGTCTTCGCGGGAGCCCCTCTCTCCACAGGAGCTGCGCGAGTGGTTTGCTCGCCGCTGGAGGCGTTCTACTGGAGCTGGAGCTTCTTCGGCCGCTGAGGGTGCTGGTGCCGCCGGTTCTGGAGCTGCTGGGCCTTCGGGTCCCACTGGAGCTGGAGCTGCTGAGGGTGTTGGTGCTGAGACTGCTGCTGTCTGTCCTGGAGGTGGTCCTGCCGCTGGAGGTGCTGTTGGCGCTGGTGCTGCCGCTGAGGGTTCTGGTGCTGTCCCTGCTGTGCCTGGAGTCCCCGCGCGGCCTCGGCCGTACTTTGTTCCGCTCCTGCAGCAGGTTCTTGGTCTTCCTCCTTCTGTAGAGTGTCCGCCGTCTGTCCAGTCGCAGTCACTGTTAGAGCCCGCCTCACCGCTGCCTGCTCCCTCTCCTTACACTGGTCCTACTGGAGGTCTCGCTGAGCGTCGTGAGCCTGCGTCTCGTCCCGCGTCGCCTGTTCGTGCTGCTCGCACTAGTGGTCGCGGTTCGCGTGAGCGTCCTCCTCCTGTCCCTGGCACGCACCGGATGTCTCTGCGTCCGTCCACTGCTCCTCTGCGTGCCCCTTTGCCTTCTCCTCCTGAGTCCTCTCTTCCTGCGCTTGCCGACCCGGAGGCGGACTCTCTTCGTGCTGCCAGTCCTACTGTCACGCGTCTACTTGCTACTGTCGTCACTGACCCCTCTTTTGAGTCCACTGCTGCGTCTGCTCTTGTCGCTGAGCTCGTCGACTTTGCTGCTCGCTGTCGTCTAGACTACGCTGCTAGTCTTGTTGCTGAGTCTGCGTCTGTCTGTCCTCCGTCCGTCGGGGGTGAGTGTGCTCTTGGCACGGACGTCCTTGAGGACAGGCAGGAGGAGTTCCAGTGTCTGGCTGCTGCTTCACCTCATCTCGCGTCTGTACTGCTTGCCCCTGAGGGAGACCCGGATGCACTAGACATCCCGACTCCGCGCTCTTACGCGGAGGCCGTAGAGGGTCCCTACTCCTCTCAGTGGCAGGCAGCTATGGATGCAGAGATGGCTTCCTGGAAGTCCACAGGCACCTACGTTGACGAGGTTCCCCCTCCTGGGGCGAACATCGTCAGTGGCATGTGGATCTTCAGGGTGAAGCGGCCGCCTGGCTCTCCACCTGTCTTCAAGGCGCGTTACGTCGCTCGTGGCTTCAGTCAGCGGCAGAGAGTTGACTACTTTCAGACCTTCTCTCCCACCCCGAAGATGACTACTCTTCGGGTGCTGCTGCACATAGCCGCTCAGCGCGACTACGAGCTTCACTCTCTTGACTTCAGCACTGCTTTCTTGCAGGGCAGCCTGCACGAGGAGATCTGGCTTCGCCGTCCACCTGGCTTCACTGGGAATTTCCCTCCTGGCACCCAGTGGAGCCTCCGACGGCCAGTCTACGGTCTCCGTCAGGCACCGCGTGAGTGGCACGACACACTGAGGACTACGCTTGCGGCTCTTGGGTTTGCTCCCTCTACTGCTGACCCGTCGTTGTTTCTGCGCACCGACACTTCTCTGCCGCCGTTCTACATCCTCGTGTACGTCGACGACTTGTTCTTTGCCACTGCTGACACTGCTGGACTTGCCTACGTGAATTCCGAGCTGCTGAAGAGACACACGTGCACAGACCTGGGTGAACTGCGCAGCTACCTTGGCTTGCAGATCACTCGGGACAGAGCACGCCGCACCATTACCTTGACTCAGTCACACATGGTGCAGCAGGTCCTTCAGCGCTTCGGCTTCACGTACTCCTCGCCTCAGGCCACTCTTCTGGCTACTCGCCACTCGCTCTCAGCTCTGCCTTCGGATGAGTCCGTAGAGTCGAGTGGCCCGTACCCAGAGCTTGTTGGCTGCCTCATGTACCTGATGACCTGCACACGACCTGACCTTGCATACCCTCTAAGCATTCTTGCACGCTATGTTGCTCCTGGGAGACACCGACCAGAGCACATGGCTGCAGCGAAGAGGGTGTTGCGCTACTTGTGCAGTACGTCGGGCATGGGGCTAGTGCTTGGAGGGCGGAGTCCAGTGGTCCTCACTGGTCACGCGGACGCTTCTTGGGCTGACGACCAGGCTACGCAGCGGTCGTCGCAGGGGTACACCTTCAGTCTTGGTTCTGGCTCTGTTTCTTGGCGGGCTACTCGCTCGTCTTCTGTTCTCGGCTCCAGTTGTGAGGCTGAGATCTACGCCGGGGCCATGGCTGCACAGGAGCTTCGCTGGCTCACCTACCTGCTGACTGACCTTGGAGAGGTGCGTCGTTCTCCTCCAGTGCTGTACGTAGACAACAAGGCCATGCTGGCCTTGTGTTGAGAGCAGCGCTTGGAGCACAGAACGAAGCACATTGCTCTCCGTTACTTCCTTGCTCGTGAGCTGCAGCAGCGTGGTCAGTTGCGACTTGCGTACGTGGCCTCTGAGGCCAACACTGCTGATGTTTTCACCAAGGCACTTCCGCCTTGTGATCATCAGCGCTTCTGCACTCAGCTGGGACTTGTACCTGTCCTACCTCACTTGCTCACCTCTTGACCTTGCTTGTACTCTTGCATATATATATACCTGCTCTTGCTTGTTTAGCCTTATATATATATGTCTCATCTTGCATGTGAACTGGCCTTGTGGCCTTGACCTTGTGCTCGGACTGTGTGGTGACTTTGTGATCCACCCTGAGCTTTGCTTTGCTTTGCTTGACTGGTCTTGTGACCCCTTGTTCTCCCCCACTTTGCCTATGGGGGTGTGTCAGAACTTATAGCTTATACTTTTGTGTAGGCTATAGTGGGGTATCCCATAGGGGGTAAAACCCAATTAGGGTTGGTACTTGTACTCACACATTCATAGTTCATTCATTCCTGTTCCTTAAAGTTTCACACGTGAACCCCTGCACGAAGTGACGTTCGAGCTCAACCTGGCAGTAGCTTCCCTCTCAAGCTCGGCACGCTCAGCTCAGCTGAGCAGCCATGGCGGATCCAACGCCCGCAGGTGACAACCCTGAATCCGTCCCAGCCACGAAGCCAGTCGCCCTTACTGGCCTAGACTTCTTACGACGAGCTTCAGCTGCTCCCGTGTTAGTCTCGCCTTCAGCTGCTCCCGTGTTAGTGGTAGATTCAGCCAGCATGCGGTATGGTGCTGCTGTTTGTCACAATGGTAACTTTGGACGCATCCATGCACTGTTGCATCAGCTCTGCTATTGTTTTTTGTTTTTTTACACTGCAGGTTCAGTTTAGGAAAAAAATTTACACTGACAGTATCAGTATAAAGAAAACCACCAACGCTGATTTGGACACCTGATTGGCAGGGGCGCGCTGGTCCATCAGCATACTCTCAAACCAATCTGAGGGCCTGTTGAATACACTCATGCGGTACATTGTGATGACATTTTTGGGTCGGGACTAGGAAATCCGGTCAGTTCATGTAAGAGAAAACATTTTAGATGAAGCCAGGGAGACGAAAAAAAGGAAAGAGCCCCCATAAAGGACACTCGTGAGGATACGATGGTGGCGAATGATTTGCTGTTGGTGACGGAGGTGCAGATGATGGGAGGAGAGAGGATGGGAGGAGAGAGGATGCGAGGGAAAAGGGAGAACCAGGCGGAGGAAGTCTGAGAGAATGGCCTCTCCATCAAGGAAGAAAATCTGAACGGGAACAGGAAGGAGGGGAGAGGGGAAGAGAGGGGAGGGTAGAAATGAAGAAATAGATGCAGTAGATTGAGTCAGGGAGACGAGAAGAAGGAAAGAGCCTCTGTAAAGTACACTAGTGAGAATACGATGGTGGCGAATGATTTGTTGTTGGTGCCTGAGGTATGGAGGATGTGAGGCGAGAGGATGTGAGGGAAATGGGAGAAGCAGGCGGAGGAGGTTTGAAAGAAATTGAGGAGGAAATTCAAGCGGTAACAGGTTGGGGAAGGGGTGTGGGTAGATGACGAAATAGATGAATGGGATGGGAGGAAGAGGCTATGGGCGTGTTGGTTGAGAAAGAAAACTTTATAGTGAGGACGGAATGGAGACAAGGAGATACAACAGTCAACAGTGGCATTGGAGGTGATTCCTTGTAGCGACATCACCTCCAATAGAACAGTAAAGGAAATGAAAAGTTGAGGTGAGAAAAGGAAATGGAACAGTAGAGAATGAGGGAACGCAGCCACCTAAGCGCAACATCCTTTGATTTTTGCAAAAGCGACGATACTGCTACAATTTTCGGTCTGAATTGATCATAAGTAACTTATAATACTCACCGGAGCAGCGTTGATGAGGGCGAGAGCATTGGACACGTGGAAGACAAAGAGAGCGACACGTGTCACCACCACAGGGCCCCACAATGGTGGCGATGCTGGTAACAGAAATGAACGGTTATGATGCTGCTCTTCTCCTTCCTCGCTCTCCAGCTGATCCTGCTCTCTCTGCTGTTGCTGCAGCAGTTGCTGCTGTTGCTCCTCTCCCTGCTGAAGCACCTGCTGCCAGTGCTGCTGCTGCTCCTTTCCCTGCTCCAGCTGCTGTTTCCTTAGTTGCCATCGCTGCTGCTGCTGCTCTTCTCTCTGCAGCATGCTAGCAGCAGCAGGCTGGCTTGGTGCATGCAACAATTTTCGGTGTTCCAGTGCAAGGTTAGGCAGTGTGAGAGGGAGAGTGAGTGTGCGAGGATGCCACGGGGAAAGAGAGAGGCCCTGTGCAAAGGACTCAATGGTTCCCACAAACACTAGAGAGGAGGGAGCGGAGGAAGTGGAGGAGGAAGGAGAGGAACTGGAAAAGGAGGAAGAGGTGGAGGAGGAGGAGGGTGAGTAGGGGGAGGGCTGAAACTGCACTAGGAGCAGCAGATGGTGATGAGGAAGGACTGGGGCCATGCAGACGGATCCCTGGCCGTGAGGGAAGGACAAAACAAGGAGAAAGAGAAGAAAGATTTCTGAAACCGTACTAGGAGCAGCAGATGGTGATGGAAAAGTGCAGGGGCCATGCATGCAGGTGGAAACCTGGCCATGGGCAAAGGGTGAAGGGAAGGGAGGATGATGGGATGATGTCGAGAAGAAAGAGATTTGAAGCCGCACAAAGAGCAACAAAGGAGCAGAAGATGGTTTTGGCATGACATACAGGCCAGAAAAGAAAAGAAAAGAAAAGGAAAGAAAACAAAAGAAAAGAAAAGAAAAGAAAAGGAAAGAAAAGAAAAGAAAAGAAAAGAAAAGAGAAGAGAAGAAAAGAAAATCAAACCACTCAAACACAACAGATAGCATATTTTCTCCCCCCTTGTCACGCTGCTCCCTAAATGCATGTCCTCTAGTGCTTGTTCTGAGGAGAGCATATTCCCCCCCCCTTTCCCCCCGAAATAACGAGCTTGCTCTTAGGAGCACGTCCTTCAGAGGCACTGAGAGACGCGCATTTAGGGAGCAGGCAGAGAATATCTCTCAGTGCTTTTTCTGAGGGTATCCATCTCAATGATCTCTCACACTCACCTTATCGCATTGACGCTGCTGCTTCCCCTCTTGCTTTCCCTCTTGCTTCCCCTCTTGCTTCCCTTCTTCCTTCCCCTCGTCCTTCCCTTCCTCCTCCCCATCATCACCCATCCACCCCCATCCGCATCTCCTCCCTCCCTCCACCAATTCTCTCGGACGCAAACATGCCGCAGTAGGAACCATCTGAGAAGCTTCTTCTTGGTTCTGCGATTCATCACCAGGAAACTGAACGGAAGCTTCCTCTTGGTGCGGTTCACTGCCAGGAATCGGCGAGGAAGGTTCCGCATCGCCAGCTGGAGCTTGCCGGAAAAGGATGGTTCCAGGAAACGAGGCATCACAGGAGATTGGCCGAGGTGGTGGGAATGGCTCCATGTTGGAATGATGAGGATGCTGGTGGGAAGGTTCTAGGAAAGAGCTGGGGATTGGTCCAGATGAAGCTATTGGTGGGATGCTACCATTGGCTGGAAAGGCTGGAGGAGTCAGGAATCCAGGTGGCAGCTTGTGATTGGCCGAGAGGGAAATGCAATACCCACGGGAAGGAGGCGAGGGAGGGATCGAAGGAGGCAGAGGGTAGGAGAGGTGGGAGAGGTGGGAGAGATGGGAGAGGAGGTGAGTGTAGTCGGCAGGAGAGGAAAGCGGAGTGTGGTCGAGTGCTAGTAAGGAGTCTCCTGGGCGAATGTGACTGAAGAGAGGGGAGAGCGGATGCACGGATGTAACCTGGGGGTGGGGTGGGAAGAAACCACACACGGATGTCATATGTGACTATAACGGGGGAAATGCATGGTGGAGTTACACGGCTTGAGGCACACGGCTTGAAGCAAACGCAGAGTCGTTCTTTACTGGGAAATGGGACATACGGGGAGGGACGTACCTTGAGGCCTGGGGGGGGACTGGGAGTAGAGCGGAAGAAGAGCAGTGCTTGGATGGGAAGGAAACGGAAGGAGGGGATATGAGAGAAGAGGAGAGGGGAGGAAGGGGACATGCAGGGAGGGGCGTACCTTAAGGCCTGGTGGTGACTGGGAGTAGAGGGGAAGGAAGAGGACCGCTTGGAGGGGAGAGGATAGGAGCAGCAGAGCGAGCAGAGACAGCTGCATAAGTGGGAGTGGGACCGGATCAGATGGGAAGGGAACGATGGGAACAGGGTGGATAAGACGGGGTAGAGAGGAAGGAAAAGCGTGGTTTGGAGAAAGGGGGAGAGGAGAGGAGAAGAAGAGACAGCTGCATAGGTGGGAGTGGGGAGATGGTGCAGGGGAGAGGTAAGGGGAGCAGAAAGGTGAGGGGCGAGCGGGGTGAGGGTGAGGTGGGGACGCAAGATGGAGAAACTGCAGAAATGCACAAGACTCACCACGATGTTGCGCCACTGTGCCGGCGGAAAGCACTCTCAGCAGGCGGGCAGGAGGCAGGCAGAGAGAAGATGGGATGGAAGGCCACATGTGCTCGCAGGAGGGAGCAGATGTGAGGCACAATGATGTGACGTGAGGCTGAAAGGATAGCCATCCAGCACTCACCACCATGTTGTGCCATATGCCAGCACTCACCACCATGTTGTGCCATATGCCAGCACTCACCACCATGTTGTGCCATATGCCAACACTCACCACCATGTTGTGCCATATGCCAGCACTCACCACCATGTTGTGCCATATGCCAGCACTCACCACCATGTTGTGCCATATGCCAGCACTCACCACCATGTTGTGCCATATGCCAGCACTCACCACCATGTTGTGCCATATGCCAGCACTCACCACCATGTTGTGCCATATGCCAGCACTCACCACCATGTTGTGCCATATGCCAGCACTCACCACCATGTTGTGCCATATGCCAGCACTCACCACCATGTTGTGCCATATGCCAGCACTCACCACCATGTTGTGCCATATGCCAGCACTCACCACCATGTTGTGCCATATGCCAGCACTCACCACCATGTTGTGCCATATGCCAGCACTCACCACCATGTTGTGCCATATGCCAGCACTCACCACCATGTTGTGCCATATGCCAGCACTCACCACCATGTTGTGCCATATGCCAGCACTCACCACCTATTGTGCCATATGCCAGCACTCACCACCATGTTGTGCCATATGCCAGCACTCACCACCATGTTGTGCCATATGCCAGCACTCACCACCATGTTGTGCCATATGCCAGCACTCACCACCATGTTGTGCCATATGCCAGCACTCACCACCATGTTGTGCCATATGCCAGCACTCACCACCATGTTGTGCCATATGCCAGCACTCACCACCATGTTGTACCATATGCCGGCAGAGAGGATTCGCAGCAGGCGAAAGGGAGGCAGGGCGTGGAAGTCGGCAGGATGGAAGGCCACGTGTGCTCCGAGGAGCAGCAGAGCGAGGAGGAAGCATGCCACGTGCTGCACTCGCACTCCCTCTCTGGATGGGGAGCGGGGGAGGAGGGAGGGGGGATGGGAAAACAGGAAAGTGAGCTACAAGAGGGATGGAAGGCGACTTGGACTCCGGGGAGCATGCCCTCCCGATAGTGAGACGAGACGTGGGGAAAGAAATGGGTTGGCAGGGGGAAGAGACTGGGGAGCAGCAGCGCGAGGAGGAGCACGCCACGTGCTGCACCCTCACGCCCTCTCTGTGGGTAGCCGACAGGGGTGGACAAATGTGCGGGAGGGAGGGGGGGTTGGGGTGAAGGGATTGGAAGATTTACAACAGATTAAGGAGCAGGGCGAGGAGGACGCATGCCACATCATGCTGCACTCGCACTCCCTCCCACACTCGTGTGACATTCAAGCATGACAGCTTGCACTCATGCGGACAACCCCACACTCCCACGCACAAGCTGACTTTTGAGGCGACTCACACGGCCACACTTCAACCCAGAATCACACTCGCACATGACAACTTCTGAGGCGCCTAAAAAACCCAGAATCTTACGTGCACATGACAACTTCTGAGGCGCCTAAAAAACCCAGAATCACACGCGCATATGACAACTTTTGAGGGGCCTAAAAAACCCAGAATCACACACACGCATATGACACTTACACTTACACAACAGCAGCAACAGAATGGCCTGTTTCGCGCCACGCCAGGCTGATAAGCAGCCCCCTATGTTAGCATGTATTATCACACCACTAGATACACCACACACACACACACACACACACACTCCCACGACACTTACACTCACACGGCAGCAGCTACGGCGTGCCCTGCCTCATGCCACGCCAGGCTGATAAGCGTGGCTATAAAGAGGTACCCGAGATCGGCCAATGGCATGTTGACACCTGACAGCTGCTGCTCCACGTGGGGGCCAGGTATGGAACGGTTCGGGGGAGGAAAAGAGCAGGGAGGGAGGGAGGGAGGGGGAGAGAGGTGGAGAGGGGGGCGGAAAAGGAGAGGGGGGTGAAGTGGTGAGAGGAGAGTGAGAAATGGGGAGGTGGAGTGAAGGAAGCAACGAACAAGAGGGGTGGAAGTAAGGACAGGTAAGGATTACCCACTTGTCCTCAGCTCTCACCACCCACCCACCAGCTCACTAACACTCAATTCAATCATTAAGTCACTCACTCACCACCTACTCACCCACACACAGACGCACTCGTTCACTTACCACAGGCTGTAGCACGTGAAGCGAGGACGGTCGGGTCGAGGCAGAGGCAGAGGCAGAGGCAGGGGTGGTTGCTTGCCGTGCAGCATGCGCATCTGGCTGAGCTGGGGCAGTGGGGTGTGGCTCTGCTGCTTGGAATGGGAAGGCTTGCTGTGCCTGTGCTGCATGGGACGCTTGCAATGCCAGTGCTAGTACTAGCCCCCCTCAACACTCACTCACTCACACATTCACTCACTCACTCACTCACTCAATCCACCCACTCACCCAACCACCACTCACTCACCCACTCACTCACTCACCACCGGCTGCAGCACGTGAAGCGAGGACGATGGGGTCGAGGCAGAGGAAGAGGCAGGGGTGGTTGCTTGCCTTGCAGCATGCGCCTCTCACTCACCCACCCACTCACTCACTCAGCACCACTGGCTGTAGCACGTGAAGCGAGGATGGTGGGGTCGCAGCAGAGGCAGGGGCGGTTGCTTGCCGTGCAGCATGCGCATCTGGCTCTGCTGGGGCAGCGGGGTGTGGCTGTGCTGCTTGGACAGCTTGCTGTGCTGCTTGGACAGCTTGCTGTGCTGCTTGGACAGCTTGCTGTGCTGCAAGGCACGCTTTCAGTGCCAATGCCAGTGCCAGCCCTCCTCAGCACTCACTCACTCACTCACTCTCTCACTCACTCACTCACCATAGGCTGTAGAAGATGCAGGGAGGAAGAGGTCCCAGCAGGAGTGGCGGACGTTGCTGGCTCTGCTGGGGCAGTGGGGCTGCTTGGACGGCTTGCTGTGCTGCATGGGACGCTTGCTGTGCTGCAAGGGACGCTGCAGCACCCGTTGCTCTAGAGAGGGCGACGACAGGAGAGGAAGGTCCGATAGAGGTGTTTACAGCAGAAGGGATGTGACTGTAGTGAGAGTGGTTGTGAGAGTGGGTGTGAGGGTAAAAGCGCTGCTGTTCCGCTAGGTGCTGGGATGAGGTGGAGAGGTGGCGGAGGAGAGGGACGAGGAGGGAAGCAACAAGGCCGTCCCATAGAAGAACCTGGGGAGGGAAAGGAAGGGAGGGAAAGGAAGGGAGGGAACGGAGGGAGGGAAGGGAGGGGGGACCTAAGCATGAAACAAATAAATATTTGTCGAGTTTGATGCATGCAATCCACGAATCAGAGGGCCAACATGAAGGCGATGCGATGCGATACGATACGATACGATACGATACGATACGATACGATACGATACGATACGTGCTGCACTGAGAGTGGCATGAATACACTCGTATAGAAGCGTTCGAGGCACCTACGCACAATGACAATGGGAACGTTTGAGGCGCCTCAAAATTCGTTCGACGGTCCCAGCGCGTGCGAATAAGAATGGTAAAAAATGAGGGTTTCGTGCACACACACACGCACCAGAGAGGCCAATAGGAAGGCGACGCAGGCTGCAATGACCCCCCATGTGAATGCGAATGGGGAGAGATGAGGGAGGGTTGTATGCACACACGCACCAGAGAGGCCAATAGGAAGGCGACGCAGGCTGCAATGACCCCCCATGTGAACCATGCACGGAGCATCCTGGGATGAGATGAGACACATGAGAAAATATTAGCATGTGGCGATGTTCGGTTGGAGTACTGAGGGTTACACGAGACACAAAGAACCATGCAATGATACAGAGGCTGCAATGACCCCCCATGTGAACCATGCACGGAGCATCCCGAAATGAAGAAAAACCAGGGAAGGTTTTTTCTGTCTCTTTGTGCTTTGGCATTCTTACACGAAGGTTTCGGAAAGTACAGCATATATGGACTTGGCTGCAATAATGGTACAAGAAGAAACAGTGGTACAACCTATGTGTTGCAAAAGCTTTTATTTCTTTCCACCCTTGCCCCCTTTCCCTCCTTTCCCACCCTTTCCGCCCTTCCCAGCCTTTCCGCCCTTTCCGGTGCTCGTTGTGCCCCCAGTCTGGCTACTATCCGCCCCACCCTGCTCCCCGCCAGCCCCTCCACCAGATCCCCCCTGCTCTCCGCCAGGTCCCCCCTGGTCTCCGCCGGATCCCCCCTGCTCTCCGCCAGCCCCACCTTGCTCTCCGCCAGATCCCCCTTGCTCTCCGCCAGGCCCGCCCTGCTGGTTACCAGGTTTCCCTCCCTTTCCCCCCTTGCTCCCTTTCCCTCCTTTCCCACCCTTTCCGCCTTTCCCAGCCTTTCCTCCCTTTCCGCCCTTTCCGGTGCTCGTTATGCCCCCAGTCTGGCTACCATCCGCCCCCCCTGACCCCCCCTGCTCCTCAACAGCCCCGCCCTGCTCTCCACCAGATCCTCCCTGCTGTCCGCCAGATCCCCCCTGCTCTCCGCCAGCTCCCCCTTGCTCTCCGCCAGCTTCCCCCTGCTCTCCGCCAGCTCCACCCTGCTGGTTACCAGGTTTCCCTCCCTTTCCCCCCTTGCCCCCTTTCCCTCCCTTTCCGCCCTTTCCTCCCTTTCCGCCCTTTCCACCTTTCCCTCCCTTTCCGCCCTTTCCTCCCTTTCCGCCAGCGCCGATCAGTGGCGGGCCGTCCTCGCCTCCCCCAACGTCGCCGCCACTGCCGGGATCTCCGCCACTGGCGGTATCCCCGTTGTCGCCACCAGGGGGGCCCTCAGGACCGCCCTGATCGCCGCCGACGTCTCCGCCAGGTCCGCCAGGTTCTCCGCCTTCCCCCGCATCGCCCCCTCCCCCAATTTCGCCGCCACTGCCGGTATCTCCGCCGATATCTCCGCCAGTGTCTCCGGGATTTGCTAGCAGAGTAATGGTTGACGATCCCGGAAAGCTCACGAGCGAGAGGGCCTTGAGGGCGAGGCTGCGACGAGTAGATAAGGTCCTTCCAAAAACTGCGCGAGAAGGAGAAAACGCGGAAGAATTGGGCGACATCTTACCAATTCAGAGTATCAGAAAAGAAAACTGCGCGAAAGGGGAGAAGGTGCGAGGAAACGTAAGTTTCATGTGGGAGAAGGAAACTGTTTTTGGTGAAAAGGCCGTGATACAAGTCGCGGGATCTTACCAGGCGCGACGGAGACTGACGCTACGAAAAGCGCGAGAAGCAGCAGCGGCAAAGATATGCCTCGCATCGTGGAACCCATTGTGAATCCGACGTAACGAACCAATGAGAGGAGCGGATGACGAGGAAAAAAGAAGAGAAAATCGTAGCAAACAGAGAATGATTATCGATATGAGACCTCATGATAACGATGGTAGGGACGGGTGGTTTTATAGGAGGGTGGTGAGAACGCGGCTCGCACTTGCTCAACAAGTAAACACAGGAAATGGTTGGAACTCATAGTTGGCGGGAAATGTACTTTCGCGCCAGGTGAACTCCGTGAGCTTCGCTGTTCCGTGAGCTTCGCTGTTCCGTGAGGCCAGGGAGTTGCGACGGTGGAGTGGCGAGCGTCGCGACGCTGGTTACTGTAAAGATGAGGCTGGCGAACTCGATTTCCTGCAACTCTCCCAACCTGCGAGGGCAAAGTGGATCACGCTACAATTCACGATTCGCAACATGCTCGACCGATTGTCACGGCGTGCTGGAAGTTTAGATTGCAGGTGGAAACTCCACTTGTCACGCCTGTTGAAACCGGTTGACCACCTGACACGGGCGCGTCAAGTCCGTCGATGGAAATTGCGGATAACGCGGCAGCAAATGCTTGAGGCAAAGGGTCCACCCTAGTTCTTGCGTTTGTCTACACTTTTGCATCTGCATTTCATATTTTGCCGCAGTGCTTTGTAGAATGTATAGAAAATTCCTTTTCCTTACTTCGCATCCCTGCTCAACGCGTACATCACTGTAGCACCACAGTCAGCACCGCTACCACTCGCAATCCTCGCATCTACAATCCGCCCGCCACTTTCGCACGTTGCACCCCGACCTCACGGCTCGGCGGGTAACCCGCGCTCCGGGCCTCTGCTTAGAAAATTTTCCCAACCTCAGTCCCAAGCCCGTCGCGCGACAACCACAGTCCATTACCGTTACCACTGTAGTTTCGCTATATATTCTTCGCTCATGCCTTCGCTCATTGTACTCTTGCTTCGATAGTGCAATTCTCGTTCGTTAACTCAATTGCACTCGTAACACTTGGTATTCAGAGCCTACGATCTCCTCTCGGACCGCACCCACACCTTTGCTTCCCCACTATCTCATTTTTTTGGGGGGGTAGACGTCTCTCAGCGACACAGCACCGCCGCTCGTAGTGCTCTCTCGTAAGCACGCACGGCCACGACCGAGGCTCTCGCTGAGCTCACCCGACACCCCCGCCATGGCCGAATTCACGCTCGCCACATTGACGCAGGAGCAGCTTGACCGTCTGGTGCGCCAACTTGAAGATTCGGCGCTTGAAATTGCGACGCTCACCGCGGAACGTGACTCCGCCCGTCAACAATCCACGGTAAACATTCCAGCGCCATCACACGCACCGACAAATGCATCTGCACAATCGGACGAGCCGATCGTCATTTCGTCCGGCACACCAACGCAACACGACAGCATGGGACAACGCTCAGGCGCAGCCAGTGATGGCGCCGCCCAGCCGATGCCTGACATGGGAGGAAGCAGGGTCGCACCAAACCCGCGGGAGCCCCGTGAAGCTCGTCGGCACGTGGAATTCGCGGCGACAAGTGGCGAACAGGCCATTATGGCACCCATGCCACTCAAGCCGCAACGCTCGCCCTGCTTCGACCCAAGCCAACGTGGAGGTCCAACGGATCAATCGTGGGTCTTCACGGTGAATGTCTTCTTCGACGCGAACTACGTCGAGTCGGACGCAGCGAAGATTCGGTATGCAGTTTCGCTGTTAAGGGGCCCCGCCATGGACTGGTGGCGAGTCATTGTGACGTCGCCACGCGCCTACGAGCCACCGTCGCAAGAGGAAGGGCCCACGGGTCCAGCTGTCACCTGGAGTTCATTCTGCGAGACCGCCCAATACAGCACGTGGGATGCGTGGTGCGCAGGGCTTCGGGCGCGCTTCGAGCCGATTCCGGCTTCCATTTCTGCGCGTCAGAGATTGCGCACTTGGCGCCAGCTCGGGTCGGTTCAAGATTACACAAGCGGTTTTCTCGCACTTTGCGAGCAGGTCGGTTACATGCACGAAGCGGAGCGGGTGGACCATTACGTTGGAGGGCTGAAGCCGGATATCTCGCACGAAATCATGCTGCGCGGACTCTCAAACTTCAATGAGATTCTCACGCTCACCGAGAAAATCGACATTCTATGCCGAGCGAGACCGGGGTTCTACTACGGACATCGCCCTCGGGGACCGATCGAGCACGACACTGTACACGCTGTTGCAACGAATGCAGCTGTCGCACCGTTTAAGGGGCGCTGCTTTGCTTGCAACAAGCCGGGCCATCGCAAGAGCGAATGCCCAGAGGAGCTAAGGCGCCGCGGAGAAGAGCAGGGGAGGGAGTCTTAGAGGCAGGGAAACGCCAGCAGTCAGTAGAAGTTGGGCCAACTACTGACGAGACTGTCTGCTCGCCCCACCGCACCGACCCTCACCGAGTCACAGTACCGATTCTCGCCATCGATCAGGCTCGGATGAATAAGGAGGGTACAGCGACGGATTGCCCAGTACTGATCCACGGGAAGATACAGGGAGCAGCAGTGAAGATTTTTATCGACGGAGGAGCAAGCCACAGTTTAGTTAATACCGCAACCGCACGAAAAGTACAACTGACTCTTAACCGTTGCTTACCAGAGATAGACGCACGCTTAGTCGACGGCACGCTACTGGCCAGACGGGAAAAGGTAGAGCGAGTCAAAGTCCGCTGCGGGGGAAACTTCGGGTTTACACACGAAATGCTCGCAACGACACTAGATGGGCATGATATTTTACTGGGACGTGATTGGCTGCGACGGTATAATCCGCGAATTGACTGGACGACGGGTAGCTGCACCGTGCGAAGTAGTGGTAACTCTGTCGAACTACCTCGCTGGCAGTCACCCGAGTCTTCAACGGTCCACGTCAACGCCATCACGATGAAACGGGTTGTCGCCGCTGGAGCTGACGTGTACGCAGTTGATATAGCATTAGTGGGAGAAGAGGAGCAGCCGAGCGATTTTCAGAAACTGTTGGCAGCAGTACCGCCCGAACTACAGGAACTGTTGAAACGGTACCCGGGAATTTTTCCAGACGACTTACCGGAAGGGCTGCCACCTCAGCGGGCGCATGATCATAGGATCGAGTTAGAACCAGGGGCACAGCCAACCGTACAGTGCCAGTTCAGACTGACACAGCCCGAGCTGGACGTGTCAAAACTTATATTTGTAACTGCCTGTAGCTGTAGTTAGTCTAGTTATTTAAACTTTGTTTGGTGGTGCACCTTATGTGTTTCCTTTGCTATATGTACTTCGAACCCTATAGTGAAAACACATTCCTTCCCAACTCTCTTCCAACTCACTCGATCTTCTCCCTAGGACAAAACCCGCTCGACACCTAATCTCGGGCCTAGGCTCCTAAGCCTAGGCCCTACTTTCAACTTAACTTATTCCTCGTGCAACGATTCTCGACATGTTATCAGAGCGACGTTCGTTCTGGCCTGTGCGCCCGCCTCACGTTTCCGCTGCTACGATTTTCCGGTCGCGCGCCTAGGGCGCGTGGCGATTTTTCCTTGTCCCGCCCCCGGTTGGCGTGTGACGCCTTCTCTGCCCGTCGCGCGCCCCGTGGCACGCGACGGTGCCCTTAACCTGCCTGTCGTGCGCCCCGTGGCACGCGACGGTGCCCTGCTCGTCGTGCGCCCCGAGGCAAACGATCGGGCCCTTTCTCTTAAACTTACCCGTCGTGCGCCCCGTGGCACGCGACGGGCCTTTCCGCCCCTGCTCTCCCTGAAGCCGCCCCTGACCTATTAGCGCCGACACCATTTAGCCGCTCTGCGGCTTTCTTCCCGCCCACCCCCTCCTCCTTTGTCTCCCTGCAGCCGTGGGGAGGAGGGTATGGGGGTGGCGGGTGTTGGAGTGTTGGGTCGACTCTCTCCCTTCCCCTCCTCCTCCTTTCAGACCCACCGCTGCAGCTGCCGCTGGGGGGGAGGGTGTGAGGGTGTGGGGGAGCAGGGGGAGTGGTACCGGGGTGGCGGGTGTGAGGCAACAAGCAGCCGTCCCTCCACCTCTCCTCTCTTCCCCCCTTCTCTGCTGCTCCTGCAGCAGTGTGGGGGAGGGGAAGGAGGAGGGTGAGGAGATGGAGGGGGTGACCAGCTAGTGTCAGCCCGCCTGCATTACCTGCTGTTGCTTGCTTTTTATTATTTTGCATGTGTACACCTGCAGGTTGTATTCTGCACATACTCCTGCTGCAAGTTATGGGGGAGTGTCAAAACTTATAGTTGTAACTGCCTGTAGCTGTAGTTAGTGTAGTTATTTAAAATTTGTTTGGTGGTGCACCTTATGTGTTTCCTTTGCTATATGTACTTCGAACCCTATAGTGAAAACACATTCCTTCCCAACTCTCTTCCAACTCACTCGATCTTCTCCCTAGGACAAAACCCGCTCGACACCTAATCTCGGGCCTAGGCTCCTAAGCCTAGGCCCTACTTTCAACTTAACTTATTCCTCGTGCAACGATTCTCGACAGGACGAACTAAGGAAGCAGTTAGATTATTTGTTAGAGAAGTAGTTTATCCGAATAAGTTCGTCATTGTTCGTCGCACCAATACTGTTCACACCGAAAAAAGACGGAGGGTTTCGCATGTGCATCGATTACCGAGCGCTCAACAGGGTAACAGTCAAATCGCGGTACCCCATTCCCCGCACCGACGAACTGATTGACCAACTGCAAACAGCACGGGTGTTTTCGAAAATAGACTTACGGGGGGGTTACCATCAGATTCGGATCGAACCATCGGACTGCGCCAAGACAACATTTAGGACTAGGTACGGGTCGTTTGAGTTAACGGTGATACCTTTCGGGCTGACCAACGCGCCTGCAACATTTCAGATGACCATGAACGAGGCGTTTATGTCAGATTATTATAGCTGATACATGTTTGTAGGCTATAGTGGGGTAGCACATATGGGGTACAGCTTTCTAGGGTTGTATTTGTACCCAACACTGGCTTAGTCATTTCATTCCTGGTCATTTATTTCCACATGGTA